CAAAAAATAGATATAGATAATAGATAGATAGACAAAATTGAATCCTAATCAGCCATAAAAATGCATAAATGTTGTCATTTGCAAAAATATGGATGAACCAAGAGGGCATTATGTGTTAAGTGAATAAATCAGGCACAAGAAGACAATACATGATTTCACTTCTATGTGGTATCTAAAACCCAATCTGAGACATTGAAATTAGAATAATGGTTACCAGAGACTGGGGAAATAGTTGCATGAGGAATGGGGGGAGGAGCAACAAGCACAAAGTTCGATAGGAAAGAAAAGTTCTGATGTACATAACACATTGAATATAATTAACAATAATGCATTTATACCTTAAAATAGAAGAGAGGAATTTGAATATATTTACCATAAAAAAGTGATAAAGGTTTAATAACCCTGAATTAATCATAACCCTGAATTAATCATCACCCAGTATAAACATGAACTGAAACATCACATTGTGTCTCATACATATGTATAATATTATATATGTATTATACATATAATAAATATGTATAATATTATGTGTCAATCAAAAAATAGAAAATCAATGTTAAAAATTACTGTAATAAAGAAGCAGGAAAATGTAATACATGATGAGGGAAGAAAGAATCAATTGAATAACTTATCTAGAAATTACAAAGGTGACAGAATTCACAATGACATTAAAACTATTAAACCAGCATTTCATTTAAGTAGAAAAAAAAAGTACAAAATCTGAGATAGAAATATAAGGTGGAATTAATAGCAAATTGGTCATTGCAAAAAAAAAAGGTAATGAACTTGAACAAAGCAATAAAAACAATACATCAAGGGGGAAAATGAATAGCATATCAGTGAAATGTGATACAACTTCAAGCAAATATGCATTTGTGTGGGATCGCTGAGAAGAGTGAGAATGTGAAAGACTTGAAGAAATAATGACCACAATTTTTCCAAACTTAATGAAAGTTATAATCCCCAAATTCTGAGAACTTCAACACAGCCTCAAACAAAAATAGAGATGAATAAAATTACACAAAGCCATATCTTTGCTTAAAACCTATGATAAAGAAAATATCTTCAGAACGTTAAGAGAAAGAAATTTCTCACAGAGAGGAAAAGACAAAATAACAGCAGATATTCTCTAAGAAACAGCACAAGACAGAAGACATTTAAGTGGACTCTTTAAACACTGAAAGAAAAAAGTTGTCAACCTAGAATTCAGAAATAAAGAAAAAATAAAGACTTTTTCAGATATAGATAAAACAATGTCTTTAAATCCTATATATGTATATACATATGTATACATACACAAGCATGTATATATACAAATTTTAAAATTATACAAATTGTGAGTATATAGGTATTTTATATGTATTACACTTTATATACATATATGTATATATACTTTATATATATACAAATATATCTCCATATATATCACACATATATATCTCCATACATATGTATATATAAATATATATATAGAGAGAGAGAGAGAGAGGTAATCCACTAGCGGGAAATCTGAATGAAGCCATATAGTAAGTGTACAGAACAAAGAACTGTTTAATTAAAAGATTCTGTTCCAAGATTAATGTTCTGGATTTTGAGATTTTTAGAGACTGAGTA